GGCAGTCCCTTTTGAAATGCCCAACCTCCCCACAGTTGTAGCAGGCTCGGCCAACACCTGCTCCAGAGGTTTGAGTAGTTTGCTGAACTGGTTTTCTGCAGTCTCGAGCCAGATGGCCCTTTTTACCACAATTGTTGCAGTGCTTTTCACGACAGAGCCCGGAAGGACGATGGTGGTAACTGCACTTATCGCACCAGGGAAGAGTACCAGTGTATGCACTGTTAGGGGTTTGAGTTGCAGGAGAGGCGACAGGAGTTGTAGCAGCGTGGACTGCCACAGTTTGCTGTCTTTTCGAGGGTCCTTGCGAACCCTGACCCTTTCGCTTGTTCCAGTATTTCTTCTTATTTTCACTACTCCCTTTAGCCGGCTCAGGAGTGGTTATCACTTCGTCGGGCTCATCGCTATGATCAATTAGGGTTTGCGCCAAACACTTAGCGCTGTCGAAGGTTTCTGGCTTTGCAGCCAAAACATTTCCCTTGGTTGGCTGGGTCAGCCCCCAAATGAATCGTTCGATCTTTTTGCTTTCCGGGGATATCATTCCCGGACAAAGGAGTGCTAGGTCCTCGAACCTAGAAGTGTAGGAGGCAATGTCAGAACCCTTCATCTTTAGGGTCCAGAGTTCATGTTCGAGTTTCTGCATCTCGCCCCGTGGGCAATACTGGGCTATCATGAGTTCCTTCAGTTTGTCCCAACCCATGGCATTTGCCACTGGCAGGGTTAAGGACTTGACCCGGCCATTCCACCAGGTTAATGCTTTGTTGAGGAAAGTGCAAGCGGCGTACTTCACTTTGTTGGCCTCAGAGACTGCGCAAATTTCGAATATGGACTCAATCTTTTCGAACCATTGAGTCAGAGCAATAACACCTCCTTTGCCGTCGAAAGATGTGGGTTTTGCGTTCATGAAATCTTTATAAGAGCATTCTTTTTGGTGTCCCTGACCACCTTCCTGAAATTGAGAATGCATACCACCTCCCTGACCACCAGATCCACCGGAATTTATTTGCGACATGGCAGCAGCCACTGCAGCAGTAACAGCTGCCTGAAACATGACAGGATCAAATTGGGGAGAAGGCGGTGGTGGAGGAGTGTCGTTGTTTCTCCTGGTAGATTTCCTTCGGGGAGGCATCTTGATCTGAAATGACCAAGAAAGAGGAGGATGGAATTTAGAGATATGAAACAAGGATATATCTCATAATAATGTTTAGAGTGTTCTACTAAGCGATAGGACAGGAAAATTACTTAAAGTAAGTAAACTATCGCTAAGGGAGGAATGAGTAGTAACACTCGGAACGGATTTCCATGAGGTATTTGGTTCAGACTAAAATACTCCCATAGTATTTTATGTTGAATGGATATTAGGTAAGTTATAGGCCTGCTGTTCACCACAGTCACTCCCAAGCACATGTTGGCCGTGTCTCGAATGAATGTAGTTGATCAGGCTATATTGACCCTAGACATGACTACATAACTGCCTAGGTTTAACCACAGTGCACAACACCCAATTTACTTATGCTTTGTTCTCTTCGCGATACGGATTTCGGTACTCGGGAATACTTGTATACTTTTATAAAAATACTTATATTTTAAAAGCATACTTTTAGTTTAGAGCACTTAGGCCCCTTAGTGTTTATAGTTGTATACCATGTAAGGTTCGGTATACTTAGTTCACTATAAACAAGGGCACTGATACCAATTTGTCACACCCCGAAACCGATGGCGGAAACGTTCCGGGGCGGAGTGATGTCATGTAGAGTATCACAACCAATGTACATAGCAAGCATAGTAAACACAACCATTACATTACATGAGAAAGTTTTACATTTGTTTAGAAACAAAATACTACAAGTTTTCTTAGATACATTGGTTAGAACAAAAGTAAAGACGAGTCTTCTATATGCTCCGTCTTCTCCAAAAGATTGACAAGAGTACCTGTCTAATGAGAACCTGAGAATACAAGCAGTTTTGAAATATCAGCATAAAGCTGGTGAGTTCATAAGCTTATTTTGTTAAGGAAAAATCGTTTATTTAATCCAGTGTTAAATAATTCATTTCCTTTTGTAAAGGTTTACTGTAATATTGAAAAGCCATCGTTACTGAGTTATGAAATACATAGGCATGTTTTTCCCAGAAAATCCCACATTTTCTAACATGTAAGTTTATTTGAATAAGATATGAAAACCATAAGTTATGACCCTGGAATTACCATCCAGTACGAAGGTAGGTAGTTTTAATACATAAAACTATTAGATTAGATCCCTGGAATACCATCCAGTACGAAAGTAGGTAGTTTTAATACATAAAACCATTAGATTAGATCCCTGGATTACCATCCGGTGTGAAAGTAGGTAGTTTTAATACATAAAACCATTAGATTAGATCCCTGGAATACCATCCAGTATGAAAGTAGGTAGTTTTAATACATAAAACTATTAGATTAGATCCCTGGAATACCATCCACTGTGAAAGTAGATAGTTTTAATACATAAAACTATTAGATTAGATCCCTGGAATACCATCCAGTACGAAAGTAGGTAGTTTTAATACATAAAACCATTAGATTAGATCCCTGGATTACCATCCGGTGTGAAAGTAGGTAGTCTTAATACATAAAACCATTAGATTAGATCCCTGGAATACCATCCAGTATGAAAGTAGGTAGTTTTAATACATAAAACTATTAGATTAGATCCCTGGAATACCATCCAGTGTGAAAGTAGATAGTTTTAATACATAAAACTATAGTTGAAATAAAGTAAGAAAAATCCGTAACCAAGTTGTTTTGTTAAATACGTATTGTGAGCCGTATAACCATACTGATATGACCCGTGACCTCCTTGACGTTCTTCAGGCGTCGTTCGATTATAAAATTTGTCACCCCAGGCGTGCCCGCCTAACTGTAGCTAGCAGTTTAGGTGTGGGATTGTCAGTCCCGAATAGATCTATCCACAAATTTCACGTTCTCCCTCCAGGAGACTCTGGTTATACTTCCGGTGAGGATTTATTGGTATCCCGAAGGATATAACGAAGATAAGTCTCACAAACTAGTATTTACAGATTTTCGGATAATTCAATCGTTTTCGAGTTTCGAATTAGTTTGGAACATAGTAGAGTATAAATAATTAAATAAAACATAATTATTTAGCATGATACTCTAGATTAGACATAGGTAAACTAAATCAGACATAGTTTATATTTTTGACTTTGCATGAAATCGAAATTCGTATAACCAGTGGTAAAGATCCCCAAATTATTCCCATAATAATTTGCACAGTTTGATAAGTTTTTCCCATTTAGATTGGAAAGGTTTGATAAGTTCCATACAGTTTTAGGAAAACTATGTAATTATATTTAGAAAATATCCCTTATGCTCTGCCTATTACAAGAGGGATAAAGTAGCCTAAGTTCATCGGAGAATCGTATAATTACATCAGTTTCTTTCAAGTTATGAAAACCTTTATGATTTTGCTTGTATTCCCCCCTGAAAACATGAAAAACTTGGAAAAGGTGTAGGGGTATGAACTCACCTGACGAGAATGTGCCGAGTAGGATGCTAGAAGGTTACTTAGGACTTGAACACGCGCAAAGGTCCTAAGTAATATGAGGTGATACCCAATTGTATCCAATTAGTTATTATACAACTAATTAAACAAGTAGACACACTCAATGCAAGAAAACACTTGATTCCAAGTGTTAGGAATGATACGGGTTGCATTTAAGGAGTGTATGACTTAGTTAGGAGGGTTTACTCTTCAATTGTAAACCCTTGGGGGAGTTTACGGTTTCTAGACCACATCCCCCATGAGTTTACGGCCGTAAACTCATGGGTGTGGTGGTTTGAGTGATCCAAGGTCTCGTCTTGCACATAGAAAGGCCCTAAGGTTGATTCGAGGGCTTAGGAAGTGATCGGGACATGAAATGGCCTAGGAATTTGGGTTTACGGTCCTTGGACCACCCTTGGGGAGTTTACGGTCGTAAACTCATGGGTTTACGGTCCTTGGACCATCCTTGGGGAGTTTACGGTCGTAAACTCATGGGTTTACGGCCGTAAACCCACCCTTGTCCATGTTTGTTCATTTTCCATGTGTTTTGGTGGTTTGTACGCCATTCATGCAAGTTCTAGACTCGAATACAAGCCATGCAAAGTGTTTGGAGCATTAAAACCCCATGAAAGGGTGTTTACGGTTTTGGGAGACGTTCCCAAACCGTAAACTCATGTTTACACTTATTTGGACATGTTTTAGGGTTCTAAGATCATTCTAGCAAGTTTCAAGGCCATTAGACATGCATTGGAAGGGTTAAGGAGCATCAAAACCCCATGAAAGGGTGTTTACGGTTTTTGAATATTCAAGAACCGTAAACTCATGTTCATGGCCAAAAATTCATGATCTTGTGGTTCTAACTCCATGCATGTAAGGATCTAAGCACTAGAAGAGGTTTGGAAGGGTTTTGGGGCTTCAAAACCCCCCATTGAAGGAGTTTACGGTTTTGGGAGGCTCCCCCAAACCGTAAACACGGGTTTCTGGTGATTTTTGGGAAGTTCAACATAGATTCGTATGCATGATAGAATGAACAACTAGTTAGGAAGGATCACTTACCAAATTGGAGCTTGAAAGTGAAGATTCTTGAGAGAGTTCGATTTCTAGAGAGAGAGAGAGTAGAGAGAGAAAGTTCAAGTGTGGGAAAAGCTCAAATGGTGGTCACTCCACCCTTTTATGTGACTAGAGTTAGTGACCCGGTGGGAATGCGCCCAATACGGACATTAAACGGAGCTTAATATTTTACCCGGGTAAATAACCATTACCCGTATTAGTCGTAGTCTAGAAATCCTCAAAAGATTGTTTAGAGTGTTTTCACTCAAATAAATATTTCGTTCTGACACATACGAAATTATAATAATAATTCTAAATGAATTATTTAATTTGAAAGTGAACGGCAAAACCCAAAATAAAATAAATTTTATTAACGGCATGGGTTATGTTAACGGAATATCTTTCGGGTTGTCACAACTTGTCAGTAAAATCCTTTCCAGTCTCCCTTAAAAACATTTTAGGGTGATCACCTGAAACATTCTGATCTGAATGCTTTATAACTAACATCTTCCCCTTCAGCTCCTCAATTCGTGCTTGCTTATCTCTCCTTTCTTGAGCAGAAGAAGGACCAGAAGATAAAAAAGTATCAAGATTTGCGTATGGAGCAGGTCTAACAACCCTCTCACTTACACCTTAAGAAGAAGGATTAACTGGATTAGATGTAGAAGTTGTAGTCTTTTCGCCTTCAGAGCTCAAAGGTTGAAAATTATCACCAAACTTTTGATGTAAACGTTGTTTCAAGTCAAATACCAAAGCAGATATACCACTAAGATTTGCTTGAAGTTCAGAAATCTTTGCGTCTTTAACAGGAGTTCTCTTTCTAAAGACTAGATACTCTTACATCCAAATTACCAATTAAAAAGTCCTTCTCTAAAGATTCATGCCTCATGGACACAATCTCCTGTTTGAGTTCAGAGATAATTTGATGAGAATCTTCATCACTCCCTTGTCCAGAGCCGATAGATATTCCTTTTCCTTTGGATTGAGAAATAGAATCTTGAAAAGAAAGTATCTTGGCTAACTTAACAGAAGCGGCATCATGCTCTGGAAGTGATGGAGCGGAGGAACTTCCTGAGGCGAACGTTTCTTCATTGGTCAGAAAATCAAAACCTTCCCCAAAAACTAGACTTTGAACATTATCCTGAACCTGGGCTGGTTCGACAATCAGGCTCTCAGCATCCTTTTGAACGACTTGGGCTTGCTCCATAGAAAGACCTGGATCATCTTGAAAGACCTGGGCTGGTTCTACAATAGGGCCTAGATCACCTTGAGAAAATAGTATTAGTTCTTCAGTAGGGCTTGGCAATAAGGAGGTGTCTGAATCAATTTTATCACTCTCAGATGGAGAATCAGAAATAATAGGAACCGCTTGGGGAGGTTTCTTTGCAGTTGACTGAAGTTGAGCAATGAGAGAATCCATCTGATCGGGTGTGGGATCAGTTGATTGTTTGAAAATATTTACATCCTTTTCAGTTTCAATTGGAGTATCCAAAACTTTACTAGCAAACTTCTGCGGTGGTAGATGCATACGAAAATCTATTCCATCATCACTATCACTGTCATCATCATCGACAGAATTACCAACATCATCATCAATATCATTGTCATTGTCATCATCAGAAATCTCAAACGAGGAAATGAAATTTGGTCTTATTGGAGCTGCATGTTTTTCAGCTACAATTGCAATTGGAGTACTAGCTGTCTGAGCCTCTTCCGTTTCAGCAAACTTTCCAAATTTAACCAACTCTCTTGCTCCTTGAAAAGTTATCTTAGCTGATTTTCTAGACTGCTTCATGAGTCCAAAAGTGTTGGGACCCAAAGCTTTCATCTCCAACGTGTCAGATGACCTCTCAATTTGAGAATATTTTTCATTTAGGATCATTTGAAGAAACTTGGGATACATTAAGAATTGATCCTTTTTCTTCCCCTGAAGATTTCTTTTCATTTCTTCAAAGACAAACTTTGAGAAGTTGTAATCCCAGTTCATAGATAGAGCGACAATAGTAGAGGATGCAGTCTGAGAGATCTCATCAAAACCTGATTTCCTTCCAGAAATACAAATTACAAAGTAATGTGCTAGAAACCTCCAATAAGGTGGCAACTGCTTCTTGATAGTTGGAGGATAAGTTCCTTCATAGCACATTTTATCAAGCACCTCCTTCACTTTACTAGCAGGATATTCAGTTGGAAATGCAGGAGCATCACCAAATTCATGCACATCTTGAATAATTTGTTCAAAGATAACTATGTTAATTCCCTTTATCACTGATTCAATGGTGCCAGCTCCACCTGCACCCTTGTTATTGACAGAGGCATTTTTCCTGAAATCAACAATTAGGTCCTTGAAAACGACTGGATTACAACGTAACGCGTGTGAAATTCTGCAATTATTCAAGCCCACAATCATGGGTTTGAATTCTCGATGAGCAGCAGGAGGATCCATAAGAAATCCAGCAACATTGTGATTTTTATAGAACTTTAATTGATCTGCCATTTATCTGCACCAAACGAGTCAAGTAAGAATGATTCAAGAGAAAAAAATTGTCCAAATAATATTAATTACCAAACAAAATTTGATTATTAATAATAATAATACTAATAACTTCTTATTAAATATAATAATTTCCTTGAATTAAACGTTTACGGTCAAAGTCCAATTTTAACCATTTACAGTGAAAGTCAAACTTGAACTAAACGTTTACAGTCAAAGTCCTCGTTCACGGTCAGATAAAGATATTTTTTTCGGTTTACGGTCAGATGAAGGGATTTCATCGTTTACGGTCAGATAAAAGGGGTTTTCAGTTGAATGCGGATCAAAGTGTAAACCCTAAATTCAACCCGACGAAATTCGGATCAAAGCGTAAACCCTAAATTCAACCCGACGATTCATCGTCTCCATTGTATCGGAGCTTTAGTCGGAAACAACCGTCAACGAACCAAAATCCTCCATTAACAACCTGAAAATACCTCAAAAACACAGCAAAACTTGGAACATGAAGCTCAATGAAGACATACATCGAGGCGAAAAGATGAATCGACTGAAGATTCTTAAAAACGAAAGGATGCAAAAGAGCGAACCGTTTTGGCCAAGGATATGGTGCCTTTGTGTTTACGGTGAGCGAATTGAAAATGAAGTGAAAATGAGAGATTTCAAGACTTTTATACCTGAACAGCTTCTCGGTCCACTGGGCTCAACTAACTCTTAAAATGATTGAATCAAAGATAAAATTAAATTTATTTATTTGTTTATTTATTTATTTTATTTATTTATTTATTTATTTTTTATTCCTATTTTATTTATTTATTTATTTATTCATTATTATTGGTAAAAGTGTGTATATATATATATATATATATATATATATATATATATATATATATATATATATATATATATTAAAATTAAATTTATTTTTTTTTAACTTTTTTAATTTTCAATTTTATTAATTCTCCCCCTAAATTTGTGCATAGACAAAAATTAAAATATGAAAAAAAAAATTAAAAATAAATAAAAAATTAAAAATTTAAACTTTTGGGATGAAAGTTGTTAGACAGCCTCAATTTGTTTATTGGTACTTCCCTCTTCTTGAATAGATCTAGTCAATTCTCAGTATTGTGGTCCACTTAAACACGAAGGATTTTGACACAATTAGGACATACTACAAGTGGCAAGACAATTGTGACCTTACGTTCCTAGATAAGGTTCCTAAAAACCATTCATCTGATGACAACTAGTGTAACATCCCCAATTTCACGGCCAGAAAAGACCGATTTCGTTTATGCTTTTTAAAATAAAATTAGAGAAATCTTTTTAAAAGATGTTGTGGAATTGGTCCCCAAAACAAAACATGATAAAAGTTTATCAAAACCTTTCTTTAAGAAATATATATTTTTATTTCATAACAAAACCACGGGATGTCATGTTTCGAAACAGATCAAAAGCATAAACAAGACATTATAAGCCTTACACAGTTATTTACAACTACTGGCCTATAATCCAAAAATCACTCATTGTCATCATCCGACTATGCTCGGGGTCCACTACATGTAATATAAAAAGCTGAGTGGGTCAGGCTTGGAAGCCTGATGAGCATATAGGGTTTTAAACCCACAATAAATAATAAACTCTTTAAGTTTATCAATCAACAAATAATTTATTAATTTTGTCAACCAAAAACAACCCTAATTACCCATTCCCGTTATCCTCACCTTACGTCCCTAAAACAACTATCACAAGGGACCTAGCCTAAGGATTTTCATTAGGGGTGACAACATTGCTTCGGGGGTTCCTCAGCAATTTATGTCAAATAAGGCAACCGATAGGGTGACAACATTGCTTTCCTCAGCAATTTAGGTCAAACTAAACATCCAAATATAAAACAACCAATAAGGTGACAACATTGCTTTCCTCAGCAATTTATGTCAAATAAGACAAACATCGGGGTGATAACATTGCTTTCCCTCAGCAATTTATGTCAAATAAAACAAACATCGGGGTGACAACATTGCTTTCCTTCAGCAATTTATGTCAAATAAAACAAACACCTGGGTGACAACATTGCTTTCCCTCAACAATTTATGTCAAATAAAACAAACACAGGGGTGACAACATTGCTTTTCCCTTAGCAATTTATGTCAAATAAACAACCAATAAGGTGACAACATTGCTTTCTTCAGAAATTTATGTCAAATAAGACCACCTGACATAAAACAATCAAAATGGTGAGAACATTGCTTTTCTCAGCAATTTATGTCAAATAAAACAACCAACGTGGTGACAACACTGCTTTCCTTAGCAATTTATGTCAAATAGGCACAAAGTCACATCGTCGCCAAGGTTTACACAACAGGCACTAAGTCCATAGCTGCCAACGTACTAAATCCATAGCTACCAATGTACATCTATATTGTACTAAATTCATAGCTACTAACGTACATCTATACTTTACTAAATTAATAGCTACCAACGTACATCTATACAGTACTTTTATCCCTCATACTTTATCTACCCATTTTTACCCAACATATTCGAAGATAAAATATTTATGCATTTTAAATCATTTTAAACATGTACAAAACATTCATTCAACACCCATCTCGAATAAACAAACAACATATATACACATAGCACGTATTTTATATAAAATACTTCATATCTATGTGTAAGATGAAAGTGACTACACACTCACCTGATTTAATGAAGTTCGGGCAGCAATTCGTTTCCTAAAACGATCGTTTCTAATAAAACCAGGAGTTTTATTGAGAAACAAGGCTCTGCGAAGGGTCGGGATTCGAAACCGAAAAGATAAATTTTCCAGATCTTCGTGCACTTCGGGGCGTGTTCCGGGTGTTGGAAATGATCTCGGGGCTTCGGGGGAGGTCGAAATAATGAAAATATGAGTTTAGGGGTGAAAAATGCCAAGTTTCTAATTCTAGCCGGGAGATCTCGCAACCCCCCCTTTTATAGGGTGCGAGACCGAAGATCAATGGCTGACGAAGCTCCACGCGGCAGCAGATGCGAGCCTCGGATCCGGAGGGAAGGCTGCTGGCTGCGAGGTTCGGAACATGTGGCAGAAGGGGCGAGGCTCGGATGCGAGATGGGTGCGTGCCGGCCTCGGATTGGTCCAACACATCGGACACGGGCCGAAGTCAGAATCGAGGCATGTCGGAAGGCCATTGTACCGTACCCTCGGTTAAATCAGCAATCAACACGCGTCGGACTCAGCGGGTGACTCACCGAGATTGGCCTTATCCTTGCGAGATTCCTCGGAAATTGTGCCCAATTCTTCTAAAATCCATAACTTTCGCATACGGGCTCTATTTTTGACGTTCTTTGTATGCACGCGTAGGTAAAATTACGCTCTACAACTTTCGTTTAGACTTCGTCGGCTAATTTTGACTTTAATTTTTATATTATTATTTTTTACAGACCGGGACAGGAAATTCGTTAAAAATTCATAACTTCTTCATCCGACGTCCGTTTTCGTCAGACTTTTTACCGTTGTGCTACTATTTATGAGACCTTCGAATCTCATTTTGGTCGTGTTGGGTAAAAATCACTCGATCTAAAATTCGAGTTTTTAGCTGTCTACTACTAAGCTGAGACTTCGAAAAATCATAACGTCCTCATACGAAGTCAGATTTTGGCGTTCTTTTTATCAAACTTCTCGGTTTAACAAGTACTACGACTTTCGTTTAGATCACCAAGGCTAAAAAGTAGTTTATCAAAAACTCACTTTTTACGATATTCGGCACCGTGCCAGTTTTGTCGCGAAACTTCGACAAGTCATAACTTCTTCGTTGTAACTCGGATTTCGACATTCTTTATATATCCGGAAACCTTGAGACATATACTACAACTTGGTTAAGATTAATCCTTCTAAATAATATTCCATCAAAAAGTCATTTTTGATGCTTATCGTCTCTAAATTGACTAGCCCGGATCTACGGGCCTTACAATTATCTCCCCCTTAGGATGATTAAGTCTCGGAATCATCAACAAAAATAGGACTTGTATAATGATTCCAT